GTGTGTGTGTGTGCGCGCGTGCGCGCGATTGTCGCGCGATATTGTCGCGACCACGATTGTCGCGCGATATTGTCGCGACCACGGCATGCACACGTACACGACCGCTCGCTTGTGTGCTGTAGCGTGCTGTAAGCGGTCCCGAGTTGGCATCATTGTGCGCCCTCGTGCTCTCTCACATGCTATGCCATGCGCTCGCGCGTTCTCTCGCTCTCAATGCCGCGCTCTTTCGCGCGCTGCGTCGTGCGTTCGCATGCCCTCTTGTGCGCTCTCCTGCTCGTTACGCGTTCGCCTACTCGTCACAACGCGCCACGCTGGCGTTAACCAGTATCCTTCTTTATTGCGTCGCGCAATTCCCTTTGTGTATAGCTATTCTCCTGCACCCCTCTGCGCAGCGGGAGATTGTGCTCCCTCTCCCCACATATTTATTGATTATCAGAAAGAAGAAGGATAGCAGCTGCCCATTTTCACAAGTGTCTTAAAGTCACATCATGTGTTATTTTATTTCTTTATATCTCTTTATTTACAAAATTAGTGCGTTAAACTTTACTGTGTCATTTTTTCACCTATGATGTCATGATTCTAATATGACCACGATGACTACTCAGAAGTAATGATTATTTAATTGCATTTGTTTTCCTATAATTTAATTTGTTAACTCTTTCTTCTATTCTTCTATTCTTTATTTTTATTAATAGCATAATATATAATATTTTGTTAATAATGTAATATATGAAAAATTTATATAAAATAATTATTTTACATATATGGTAAATAGTAATATTATTGTAATGATGAACTTACTTTTGTAATAATTTATTTATTGCGTATACAGTTAGTATTATTCATAAAATATATAAACATTTTTATGCTCTGAATAATGTACAAAGAAAATCTATTTTGTAATGACGATGTATATAATTAATCATAAAGCAGAATCTTATTTATTATGCAAGCATTAAGCAGAATCTTATTTATTATGATTATTTATAGATTGTTTTAAATTTCTATGTATAATATATGTATTTGACTTTTTTCTATACAACAAAGGAAATTGTGCAGTAATTATATTATAAAATTTGACATGTAGTTTTAAAAATAATATATTTATTCATTATATGTATAGAAGTAGTACCTCCTCGTCCACCTTTACCTGGAAGCAATATTCCACCTCCGAGACCTCCACCTCCTGAAACAGACGATGAAGAAGAAATGTTTATGCATGCTCCTCAACCCAATCAACCAATAATGGTAAGAGAAATTGTATTTGATATATTTGTTATATTTGATATATTTGATATATTTGTTTAAATATTATGTAAGATTATATAAGGTTATATAAGATTATACATGGTGATTCGAAACAATTTTTTCCGATTAACCGGTTACAAATAATACAAATAATAGTATACGCATACACATTAATATGATCTCTCTCTCTCTCTCTCTCTCTCTCTCTCGTTCTCTACTATACTACTACTTATTATTCTTGTGTATAATTTAAAGTAAGTGTATTACGTAGTAGTAAGTTAAGTGTAGTGTATGTCGTGAGAGAGAGAGAGAGAGAGAGAGAGAGAGACGGAAGGAGTAGAGAGAGAGAGAGAGAGAGAGAGAGAGAATGTGCGCTAACAAAATACTTTTGTCCTGAAAATTTTGTATTCCTACCTTAATTTTGTGACGACTTTTTTTTCTCAAAAACATTTTAATGCGTATATTTGTAGCCGGTTAATCGATTAATTGTTTGATCACAATAAGTACCCCGCGTAACGCCCACTGGTGGTGAATTACGCCGTCCTGGCTACCTTTCGTATCTGATCCGTGACGACAACTATTTATTTTAATAGTTCAAGAATTAAGCTTCGGACAAAATTTTGGAAAAGGAAAAATTGTCTGAAAATGAAGTCAGGAATACGACATTTTGAGGATAAAAAATTGTTTCGAATCACTCTGTATAACAAAGTTTTGTACATTTTGTGAAGAATTTTGTGAAGATATGAAATTTTTGTAGATGGCTGCCCACGGTTTACATCAAGAGGTACGGCAATGGTCTAGCAAAGACAACGAAATTATTGCTGCGGCAAAGAAAATGGCTATTTTAATGGGCAAATTATCAGGATTAGTTAGAGGCGAAGGTGGTAACAAACGAGATCTTATTGCATGCGCCAAAGCTATTGCAGAAGCTTCTCAGGAAGTGACCCGTCTTGCAAAGGAACTCGCTAGAGAATGTACTGATAAACGCATTCGAACGGTTCGTACATTATTATTCTTAATTATATTAATATCTTAATTATATTGTTATATTATATAATTGATATAATTACGATATGTAATCATATCGTAATTATATCAATATCTTATTAAAATTGTCTATTATAATTTATTTATTAACATTATTTTAATATTGATATGTATCAATATTTCAGAAAAGAATTTTATAATATAGTTAAGGAAGTATGATCAAAAAATTAAAATGTTTTAAAATGTTTAAAAATTAAAGAACATTTTCAAATTAAAATTACATTAAAATTTTAAATCGATTGACTATAAATTTTTAAGAAAAAACTAAAATTAAGTATGTGGTATCTTATGACAGATGCATTAAATGACTGATGATATGTTAATTTATCGTGATTCTCGTTAATGGCAGATTGAGATGGCAGTGAGGTCTTTTCGAAATGAAAATTCTAATATCTCTAAATATTGAGACTACAATAGTTTTTGACTGAAATGGAAAGGATTAAAAATTAACATTGTCCGAAATTGACGCGCACGATACATTGCACAGTAGTAAAAATGTTTTCAAGCATCAATTCTATTCTTGAAATTGATATAAACAATTCTGCATACGTCATTGTTGCAATTACTTCTTATTTTTATTTTTTTATATGTAGTTATTAATTAATTAATTACGAAAATAATAATAAAATAAAATGTGAAGAAATATCAAGCTGTCACAGCTGTAATATAAGATCGTAAATAAATGAAAAAAAAAATTAATTTCGAGAATAAAATTGATTTAAAAACATTTATTACTGATGGCACCACTGCGTGCAAGCCCCGCGCAGCATTCACTACGGCATCCGCGAGCTCTCACGCCGCGCGCTGACTCATCTACGCGGGTGGTCGCGACATCCGCCGCTAGGCATCGTTCAATATCAATCATTTTCGCGCGGTCAAATTTTGTTGGACGCGGTACATAAGGAGGAATACTCGACTCCTGAACACATTCGGTGTTCGTTACAACAGCAGCATTTGTTGGCATCATTCAAAATTCAGCAAAGAGGCCAAGAAATGTTTATTACCTTGCTCCCAGGGAAACGGTTCGACTCTCTAGTAACAGGTGAATGGAGCAGCAAACACGCCGCCTGTATGTCACTGATAAATTAACAAAAATTAATTATCTTGTCGACATGGGCAAATTTATGTGTGTTCCCACGAAGACTCCTCCGTGGGCCACGCCTAAAATCATTCTTTGAACTGGCGGCGGCAAACAATACAATCTTTCATACATATGGCGTCGAGATCTTCATACTAAATCTAGGCCTCCGAAAAATATTTACGTGGAGATTCATCGTAACAGATATCAAAAAACTGATAATCGGAGCGAACTTTTTATCATTTTTCGATTTAATGATCGATCTCAAAAATCAACAGCTTATCGACTAAACAATGTCATTGGAGGTCCTGAGACGCTGCAGCAGTGAAGAGGTCCCGCAAATCAAAACAGTTATTGAGGCAACCAAGTGTCACGCACTATTAGCGTGATTCAGAGATAACTCGATTCAGCGGACGACCAAAAAAAATCAAACATCAAACATATTATTACATTGCTATAACGCCAGGTTGTCCAGTCGCATGCAAATCGCGGAGATCCGTGCCAAATCGTTTTGCCATCGCTAAAAAAGAATTCGAAAAAATGCTTGGAAATGGCTTGTCTGTCAAAAAGTCCATGGACATCTCCTCTTCACTAGTATCAAAGAAGGGCGAAGAATGGCGGGAATTACAGGGCATTAAATGCAAGAACCTTACCGGATCAATATCCGATTCGCCACATCCATGACTTCATTCAAACTCTACAAAATACGAGAATCTTCCACTATCGATCTGATCTGGGTATATCATCAAATATCGGTGATCGAGGAAGATGTACAGAAAACAGCCATCACGGGCCAAACATCATTCGGCCTCTTCGAATTTCGGTTGATGACATTTGGTTTCTGGAACGCAGCACAAACCAGCTTCATCGACGAGTACTGCATGGATTGGACTTTTGATACGCATACTTGGATGATATTCTAGTAGCTTCATCTTCCGAAAAAGAGCACTTAAACCATTTACAAACGCTCTTCGAAAAACTTCAGAAATATGGCATCGTCATCAACACGACAAAATGTAAAGTTGATCAAACGCAAGTATTTGAATTTCTCACACATTTGGTGTCCAGCGAAGGGATACAGCCGCTGCCCTCGCAGTGATATAGAAGCCAATACCGGACACCGAAAACGGCCAAAGAACTCGACAATACCTAGGCATGCTGAACTTCTATAGACGTTTCATGTCAGGCATCGCCGAGATGCAAGCTCCGCTGAATAATCTTCTCGACAACAAAAAGGAAAAAGCTGAGATCATCTGGAACTCTGTGACGCAAGAAGCATTTAATCAAAGAAAAACTAGCACAAGCAACTCTACTGGCATACTCAAAAACAAATGTACAGCTAGTCATCTTCACGGACGCATCAAATCACAGCGTAGGAGCAGCACTGCAGCAACAGGACGGTGATGACTGGCATCGGTGATGACTCGCTTGCATTTTTTTCAAAGAAGTTAAGCACAGCAGAGAGCAAATACAGCGCTTTTGATCGGGAACTGTTAGCAATACCTGTCCGACACTTTCGATATATGATCGAAACACGCGACTTCGTCATTTTCACCGATCATTGGCTACTTACGTTCGCTTTTTGACAAAAGTCAGAAAAATGTTCACCAAGGCAATGCAGGCACCTCACTTACATGAGCCAGTTCGTCACCAACATCCAGCTAGGAACAAACATCACGGCAGATGCTCTATCTCGAATAGAAGAAATCAGCACGTGTCTAGACTACACGGTATTGACAGTGGATCAAGAGAACGACGAGGAACTCAAACGATACCTGACGCAGAAAGGAAAAAAGGTCAAAATCCCAGACACACACTGAAATCTGATGTGACACAAAAACTAGTGTCTCACGGCCCTTCCTCACCGAAAAATTTGGGCGAGCTTTTAATAGCATTCATGATCTGGCACATCCAGGAACCAGAGCAATCAGCAAGATGTTGACACAACGCTACGTTTGATCAGCCACCAACTCCGACGTGAGAAAATGGGACTGAATCTGCCTCGCGTGCTAGAAATCTAAAATATCTCGGCACACCGTTACGCCAATCGACGAGTTCGCAAAAACCCCGCAGAGATTCCAGTACGTCCATCTGGACATTGTAATACTGACCGTCTCCGAAGGTAAACGCTATTGTCTTACGTGCGTCGGTTTACGCGATGGCAGAAGTATATTCTCTCGAAAACTAGAATGCAGAAACTGTAGCAAAAACATTTTACACAACAAATGGATTTGTCGGTTCGGAGTACCAATACGCGTCATCACCGATTAGTAATTCGAATCTTAGTTTTTCCAACAGCTCAACAAAATGTTCGGCATTACTCATCTCAAAACTGTGGCCACCTTCAAGCAAATGATATCGAGAGATTTCACATATCATTAAAGGCAGCTATCCAATGCCAACGATCACTGGATTGAGACATTGCCAACCTGCTTGGAATTCGAGTTGCCTTTCGAGAAGATCTGCAAACGCTACCGCAGACGACAGCCAAGCTCTCATTGAGCCGGCGAGAAATTGCCAGACGCTCGACTGAAAGGCTGCTCTAAGGATTTATAACAGTTTTGACTATTTATTAATTGATCCATCGAAATTAGCCTCAGGCTCCAAAAAGAGCCAAAATCTTTTTCACAGGAAGAAGCCCGCCGAACTACTCAGTGGAAACCACCATTCAGCTTCCTGGTGATATCGGATCTCGACCTCACCGAATCCCGCATCTTGACCTGTTCCGCATAACTCGGGCGAACAGAACGTCGGAGGCAAAGCCGATCCGTAAAGTCTCTACGAAATATAGCAACATTCCACGGTACTCGTTAAAACACGATTGCTCGTCCATCATATTGTTAATCCACGTCCACAGTCTATGAGTACACGATATTCTTAATTCCTCGGAAGATTCCCGTGAAAGACACTTTCAATCACTAAAATTCATTGATAACTTAGTTGATTGCTTATTATTTGTTATTCATTAATTAATTGTTTGTTAAATAATCCTAATTAATTATTTGTTAGCAATAAAATTCATTAAAATGAGTGTAGCGTTTCGAACAGTAACCTTCCCATTTCCTTTCCTTGTCACAGATTACAACCAATGCCGTCAAAATCTTTACATACCGGAAGAATACCTTTCCTATCTAAACTTGAAACTATTATGCAATGTATCAATGTATCACATGTGCCCGAATGCGCGAATGTTGGATCATTTTTAATCAACGTTAAACTTTCATGAGAAATGATCCAGAGAAATGATTCATGAGAAATGCTCTTAGCAGCCTCTTTGGACTTGCTTGACGATATTTTCAGTCTTTTCAATTCCTTCCACGAAAGGCTGCAGTTCACTATGGAAATTGGGAAGAATGATGGATATCAGCTTCTTGGATGTTCTGATTATTGATGAGAGACGTGTTTTGTTTGACCTGTACAGGAAATCTACATTTCGGGCAGACTTTTGAATTTTTATTCGAGTTATCTTTTGCAATAGAAGAGAGGTGTCATTTTAGGCATGGTTGATAGAGTGTTGTTATCACATCCTAGATTTCATGAAAAAAAATCTAACAAGGAGATGATCGCGATTGTAAAATTTCAAATGGGAACCATAGCCTATTCGAAGGAAGACGTTGAGTGTAGTAATACAATAAAATGATTTATGTGAATGGGCTTTGGTTTTTGAGAAAATTGCAAGTAAAGTTGGGCGTCACTGAAGTAAAGTGTAGCTGAGCAACCTGAAGTGCGCGGTACTTTTTTTCGTCCTTCCGATGCGAGTTCGAATTCCCGCAGTTAAATTTTTTTTTTAAGTAAACGTTATATTTTTAATACAATTAATTTTTCTTAATTTATTTTTTTTAAGCTAAAATATTAATCGTTGCGCAATTTTC